ATAAGTCTTTGTTTTACTATGGTTGCAAATATCAAAAAATTTCTCTATGTGACACGGCACCGGAGTTAAGTTAGGGTTTTCCAAAATGCTGACACGCCGAGCTCAAAAGGTTCGCCATCACTGTGTTAGAGGCATGGGCTTTCCCCAAGCTCTTTGCTTGTGGTCTCCCTGCTGGTTCCCAGTCTCCTGGCTGAAGTGCTGGGCTAACTGGTTATTAACTTTCCGCTGTTCTCACAATGCCAAAGGTGCATCTAGGCAGCTTTCCCCCTGTTGTGTTTGTAGAGAACGTTGAAGGCATACAGCAATCTGCCAGACTGTGGGAAACAGAATGTAAATAATCCAATCGAGAGTGTACTGGCCTGGCTGGCACGTGGCTCTGCGACCCGAAAGACCACCGCGAAGCCCCAGTAACTGACTCCGCACACTGACGCGCTGGCACCGTGGTGATGAGAAGGGACACAGGCAGCACCGCCTTGGCTGGGAGGGGCGCTTCCCCAAAGGGTGTGCTGCGCGGGGCACTGGCTAGCAGCTCTGCCCCCAAACCTCTGAGGCGCGAACTGAACTGCGACTCCCTGCCCAGGACACAGTGGGAAGAGGAGGAGAGCCAGTACTGCTATGCGACGGGGAAGGTGTGAGGCGTTTCTGTTCCGCTTCTTACTGCTGATTTGCTCAGGCCTGTTCTCTTCTGGAGGGAAGGTACCAACCAGCATTGTCAAGCACTGGCCTGGAAGCTGCTTGAGATTGAGTATGTTTGGAGGTTTATAATGCATCCTCTCCAAACTGAATACATTAAAAAAAAGAAAAAGAATGACTATCAAAGCAAACTTAATCTGAAAGTGACTATTAATCACACTCAAATATTTAGTTCTATTGGATGCTAAATTCATTCTGAACTGCCCCCAAACCTCTGCAAAGGCAAACCCGGACTATGTCATCAGGGCTGAAAGCTCTAGAGCTACTGGCAGGACTGGAGTCTGGAATAAGGTACCTTAAGGTTCTGCTCTTCCAGCAGAGTATTTATAAATGATCCGAGCTGTAGCCAGCATGTGGACAACATGTAAAGACAACAGAGTTTGCTTCGTGTAAGTTATATGCTTTATGAGATGAAGCTGGTCCAAAAAAAAAGAAATTAGGCTGGTCAAATTTTGCAAGTAATTTGTGTCTTTTGGTTTGTGATAGCTAAAGTATGTTTTTTCAAAGCATAGTCACTTGTATTTTACTACAAGTTTTAGTCTGGATTCTTGCTTTTTTTTCCCCCCTCAGATTATTCTTTTATTTTTTCCTTAATATTTGAAAAGTCAAGTAACAGGGTATGTGACCCAATTTGAGGGTATGTAAGAATATTTTTTTCTCAAATACACTCTAAGAAGAACCGAAAAACAATCGAATAGGCTAATTAACTAAGGATTAAGATCTAGTAAAAGTATCTTGGAAAAGTAACACGGATTTTTATTTTTTCTTTAGAAGAAGACCTCCCTCTCTCCGTTTTGGGTAAATCTTCAGAGAGCACTTCAGATAACTCAGTGACTGGCTGCAGAAGGAGGCTCCTGGGCGAATCCCTGGTGAAGAAGCCTGTCAGTGCAGCACGGCTCAGCCACTTCCATTCCCACGGGAACACTACTTTGGTGATGAACGTCTGAACGTTCACACAGTTGTTAGAAGAGTATTACGTAGTTCCCACGCCAGGCTTTTATAGACTTTACAAGTACAGCGCACCCTTGAACATGGATTTGAACTGCGCAGGTCCATGATATGTGGATTTCTTGCAATAAATACATACAGTGTATAAATGTATTTTCCCTCCTTTATGATTTTTTCTTTTTTTAAAAAGAGTAGACCACTTGAAAAATAGATTTAATTGATGTTTTTAGAGAGAGAGGAAGGGAGAGGGAGAGCATTTAATTGATGTTTTTAGAGAGAGGGGAAGGGAGAGGGAGAGAGAAACATCAATGTGAGAGCAAAACACCTATCGGCTGCCTCCTGCACGCTGCCTGTTGGGGATTGAGCCCACGCCTCGGGCTTGTGCCCTGTCTGGCAATGGAACTGGCAACCTTTCAGTGCACGGGATGACACCCAACCCACTGAGCCACACTGGTCAGGGCCCTTATGATTTTCTTTTCTCTAGGTGACTGATTGTAAGGATACAGTACATGATACTAATATAACATGCAACATCTATGTTAATTGACCGGTATGTTATCAGTAAGGCTTCTGGTCAACCGTAGGCTATCAGTAGCTGAGTTTTGGGGAGTCAAAAGTTATACCCAGTCTTTTCACTGAGCAGGGGGTTGGTGCCCCTAATTCTGTGTTGTTTACGGGTCAATTATAGATCCTTATCTTTTCTTACGAATGCTAATCCCATTACACAGAGAGTAAAGGGTTGCGCAATCTAGTCAGCTTGAAGGTGAGCTATAGTAACTATGAACAAGACCTTACCGTTCTGAACATCCAACACGTGATGCTTATCCAGCGTCCAGCCGCCCATGTTGGAGGCATCCAGTTCATAGCCTTGCAAAATGGCAGTTCTCTTCTCCCACAGGGTCAGGTCCAAGCACGACTCGTACTCATATCCCACCGATACTGCAATGGAGACAAACCAAGTCCCTCTGTCAACTACAGCAGAAATACAATGCATTTCGTTATTTTTCACAATTGTGTTCTGAGACTGTATTTCTAGTTATTTATGGGCGGAGTATAGTTTTTTTATATGAGAAGATTTGATCGCATAAAATATTTTTTTCCCTAAAAAAAATGACCTCCAAATATTACTTTTGCACTGGTTTTGCTGAAAACTAGTATTTTTATTTTACCATAGTATTCTTTACTAGGGGTTCATAGCACACAATGAAGTTCAGGTTGGGCAACTAGTTAAGTAGTTAGATCAGATAAATCCGCCCCAAATGGTGATCAGTTCATTCCAACTTAAAATCTTACTTGCTATCTGAATTAGTAGAGCTATTTAGTGTCCAAGAGTATTAAGTTATGGAAAACATTTACAATAAGTAAGACTCAATACAGCAAAAAATACAGTCCCCCAGCTCCACAATTATGGATTACAGCCATATTATGACATTATATTCACGTTGTCAGGAATGAACAACAGAATTAACAGTAAATTAATATGAACAAATCACAAAAAACCTCAGAGTTCACAATGCAACATGAATTTTAAAGTTCAGAACAAAGCGAAGGGAGTAGTGGCAATTATCTGGCTGCTGGGAATTAATTCAAGTCCACATTACAGATTAACTCCAGAATACCATGTTTGCTATGAAAAATGAGTAGGAGAAAGCACGTCATCCTTCGTTTTTGATGTTTCCCGAGCCAGAGTTTGAGCTATTCTAAGTATATCTCCACATGTCAAACCTGGATTATACCCTCCAGTCACCCAGTGGAACAAATGGTTTGACTGATGTTTTAAGAATAGCTTCTCCTTGAGTTGATCTTCTGATCAAAAGAGCTAACATTATTTTTAGGCACAAATGTTGTCTGATATCCTGTTAATCATCACTATGAATCAAATCTACACTAGTCATGAGATACAGAAAGACATGAAAAAATAAGGAAAGTCAGGGAGATAAAATTATAAAGAAGAAAATCATAAAAGGAAAGGGACACAATAAAAAGAAAACATGAAAAAAAAGATAATCTGAAATCTCTTCCAGAACATTCTTCTAAGATATAATTTCAGCCAGAAAAGATGATGTCCCTGTCTCCTCCTGGCCACATGGAATACACTTCTTTTTCCTGGTGCATCTAAGCCAACCAGTGGGCACCTTCCCTATGACAGTCCCACTGCCTTCCTATCTGCTCACCCAGTGGTTTCCATGGGTTACAATTACTTTTAGGTTAATTCTGAATCAAGACAATTTGTTGTTGTTGTTGTTAATCTTCACCTGATGATATTTTCCCCCCAATGATCTTTAGAGAGAGAGAGAGAAAGTAGAGGGGAGGAAAAGAGGGGAGAGAGAGAGAAAGAGAGAAACATCAATGTGAGACAGACAGATCGATGGGTTGCCTCCCACACGCACCTGACCAGGATCAGGGATCGAACCTGCAACTGAGGTACATGCTCTTGACTGGGAATCTAACCCACAACGCCTTGGTCTGTGGGCCAACGCTCTGACCACTGAGCAAAACCAGCCAGGGCAAGACAATTTGTTTGATGCAGAATACATTCACACGGAACTCACCGACAGCTTCAGACAGACCGTAGACCTTCTGATTATACGCGTCTGTTTTATCCCATATGAAGGTGTAGGCCAAGTTGGGTGAGGCGGGAAACCACTTCTGAAAGAGTCTTCCTACGACAGCCACCATGAGGTGGACCTTCATCAGGTTGAAGGGTATCACGGCCTGCGTCATGGTGACCTTGAGGACGGACTTGTACCCGGCAGCTCTGGAGCTCAGGTAGGACAGCCTCAGGTCTGTCCCCGGGATTGTGGTTTCTTCATGGAGCACCTGGTGTGGATAAAGCACAAGCCCACACGGGGATCACCTACAGCCACGAGATAAAATACACGGGAAGGAACCGAGGAGAGCAACCGAGACACCAAGGAGTCACTGTTCCTCAACGCTCAGGTGAGCTGTGATCCTGCTGGACAATCAGGGATGCATCTGCTGCCAGCCCCGTCTCGCTCCTCCTCCAAGCCTCTGGTCATTCATTCTGAGTCACTCAGACCTCAGGGGCTCCTCCTACAGGAGACACTGTGACTGTGCCACCGGGTGACATGCACGGACTTGGTTTACAGTCACCTGGAATCTCATTTGTAATTTAACCCGTTGCCCGGGAGAATCAGAGCAACATGTGTAAGATGGTTGGCTCAGAACACGGATGTGCTCTAGGCCAGAGAGCTGGGCTCCCCCAGCTGCACAACTAGGGATTAAACCTTTTGCTCTGGCCTTATCACCCGATTGGTCGCAGCCTACAAAGGCAGGAATGATGACAAAAAAGGCCAATTCATGTGGGTTCAATTGTGGCACATTCCATATCCACGTGGAAAGGTAATATAATAACAGCACATCCTCATAATTAGCTCAACACTGAGCTAGGACTCACCACTGATTTTTTTATATGACAGTAAATGAATTAGTAGTTTAAAGCTGTGAAAAACTTCCCCTGTGAACAACTAATGTGTTATTGAATGCACACAAAGACACTGAATATATACTTTCTGAATTGAAACTGGACTGTAGAAAGAAAAATACCACATGATCTCACTCATTTATGGATAATAAAGACCATTATAAACTGATGAACAAAAATAGATACAGAGGCAGAGCAGCCTGGAACAGACTGTCAAACTACAGCCGGAAGGCTGGGGAGGGTTGGGGGGCGGAAGGGGGGGAGGCAAGAGATCAACCAATGGACTTGTATGCATGCATATAGGCATGGATAGGGGAAGCCGGGGGAATGTCAAGAAGGGGAAAAAAAAGGAGACATATATAATACTCTTTGTAATACTTTAAGCAATAAAACAAAATTTAAAAAAAGTTAATATAATTATCCATGTAAGAATTATCTACTGTATACCTTAATAAAAATTCTTAACCTTACAATTTACCTATTGATGTGACTAGTTCAATGAATGCCAACAAATTGATACTGATGCATACAAAACATTACTTAGTTATTTTGAAAAATGTAGCATATACAAGTCTTCCTAAATGATTCAGACTCTCCTTGCTAACAAGCCTATTCATTTGGTTAATAATGGCAGGCCCGCAATGGCTTACTACATATACTCTACAGAGCAGGGCTCTCCATATCCCAGAACCTGGGCAGGAAACACCACTTTCTCAATTTAGAATTACGTAGTGTTTTCTTTTTTTGTGTTTTGTGAATCCTCACTGCAAGATATTTTTCCATTGATTTTTTTTTTTAGAGAGAGTGGAAGGGAGGAGGAGAGACAGAGAGAGAAACATTGATGTGAGAGAGACACATGGATTGGTTGCCTCCCACACACACCCCAACCAGGGCTGGGATCGAGCCTGCAACTGAGGTCTGTGTCCTTGACTGGAATCGAACCCAGGACCCTTCAGTCTGCAAGACTATGCTCTATCCTCTGAGCCAAACTGGTTGGGGCTACGTAGTGTTTTCAGACGCTTCCTCACATGGCCCTCCCAAGATTCATCACGCAGACAGAAAGGATCACCTTTTATGTTACAAAATCATGGAAGAGAGATTCAATGTTCAGGAGTGTTTCTCTCCCCCAACTCCTCTCACACAGGACACAGGAATGACGTGCATCTGTCATCTCCAGATTTTAATAACGTAAGGAGAAGCCTGGACACTGAGGGGGTCGCTGTCAGTGTCAATGGAAACAATCCAATGCCTGGAAGTGGCACAAAAGAATGAACTCGAGGAACTTCCCTTCTGGTGTGTGATCGGTGTTGGCATGGATCTACAACGGGGCCATGCCGATGCCCTGCAGTAGAGTAAGCAGGCATTGCCACACTTGGACAGGCCACTTTAGTATAGTCGGGGCTCTTTACCAAACACGCTGACTGAGCTCAGATACACACTGTCTTAAGCAAAATAGTTCTGGAGCACACAGGAACTTTCTAGAGCTCATTACACTCAGGGAGACCACCGAATTAAAGATCGACTGTGGGGTATGAGGTGAATAAATGGAACAAAATGCACGGTTCTCCCATCATGGGGTGAAATATCAATGGGTTAGTTTGAAAACCAGATTCTGTGACTCCCGAACGGCCCTGAAAATGTAAGTGATTGAAACGTAAAGCATACAGTCTATTTCCTCTGAATTTATTTTCAAAATAACTTCTCATACATTGGACTGGTTTTCTATGTGGAAGGCAATCTTTCATTAACGTATTTCCCGTGACCTAGAAATTGCTTTTCTCTTTCAAAGTAGCATGTGTTACCCTAATTTTGATAACGGATTATTGACTTGACCATCATTAACCTACTTTCATGGAACACATACCTGTGATTTAGCTCATTAAGACATGCGTTTCTCCTCTGTAATTTAACTGGACCACGTTATTCTGCTTTAGTGGGGAAGTCAGTCCAGCCAGAGGGGAAACAGCAACAGTTCAGCCTACTTTTGGCAGCTGCGTGGTCTGTAAGCCCCGCTCTTGGACCCCACTGCACATTCGGTTAGAAGCTACGTGCTGCCAATGTTACCGTCCAAATCTCTGTCTAACCCACTCCCTCTTCTCCCCTTCCATCACCATGATCGCTGGGCCCTCTCCACCTGTGCGCGGGATATGCATGGAGCTACGGGGACGCTAGCCTGTTCACTGATCCCTGTCGCTTAGTTAGCTTTAGAGAAATGCGGAAAAGACTTCATGGGTCCTCTGCTTCCCTATTTTTGCTTTAAATCTTCACCCGAGGGTATTTTTTTTCCATTGATTTCTAGAGAGACTGGAAGGGAAGGTGGAGGGGAAGAGAGAGAGACATTGACCTGAGACAGACACATCTACTGGTTGTCTCCGGCACTGTGCCCCAACCGGGGCTGGGGAACCTGCAACTGAGGTACATGCCCTTGACCGGGAATCAAACCTGAGGCCCTTCAATCAGCAGACCGATGCTCCAACCACTGAGCCCCTGGTTCCCTATTGCCTAAAGAATTCAAGGTCTCCATCGTACGGCATTTCAGGGCCATTCACAAACTTCCCCCACTCTTTCCCCTTATATGCCCTACACTTAACTTGTTCATTCGTTTTTATACTACATTGTTTTTACCACCACACTGATGCTCATCCATTTTCTTCAAACTTCCTCAGTGACACTTTCTTTGGCTTCCTTGGGAGTTGACCGCTCTTTTGACCTCCCACAATTCTTCATTCACATCTTGATCCTATTTAGCATAGCAGGATGCGTGTCTTAGTCTTCTTCTATCCTAGTGGAGTGCCTTGTACATAATAGGCTCTCAGTAAATTTTGCTAAATGTTGGATGTCTGTATGATGGAACAGGGAGAAAAAACCCCACCCTCCATGCATTCCTGGAACTGTTGGCTATTTGAAACCTATTTCAATGACCTGGTTTGCTAGACCTCTGCCACCAATGGGCAGACAGCGCCTCGAGGTTGAGCCTATTTTAGACTGGCTAAGGAGGTCAGTTACTGCCAAGTGGACCCTGGGGAGCAAGGACTAAATTGAATAGGTTGCAATGAATTCCTTAAAGCTTCAGCTCCAAGCCTGCTGGACTGCTCTGCAGTAAATGAACGAGGTGTCTCTTCTGCAGCGTATCTGCCTGTGAGCAATCTCATAATTTGTTATCCTCACCTCCTCTCATCTGCACCTACACTCCCTCATCCCCTGCTGTAAGTGCATCTATAACACTGATGACTCCCATATACATCTTTACTTCCAACCTCCTCCCTGGACTCCACTCTTACACGGTCACTTCTTACCACCTCAACCCCAAAACGCCTCTGTCCAGGCCACACCATTTCTCCTGTGGACTGATCTTGCCTCATGAGGACGGGGCTCCTTGTTTCAGCCTCCAGTGGCCTCTCACTCAAAGTGAGAAGCTCTTACCGGTGCCGTGACCTTCAATGCCTTAGGACTGATGTACCACGACCTTCACTCCAGCCACACCTGCTGCCTCTTTGCTCTTCCTTGAACAAGTCAAGCAAGCTCTTCCTTCGGAGCATCTGAACTTGCTCTCTGCTCTGCCTGGAATGCTTCTCTTTTTAAGGTTTATTCTTTCACTTAAAGTGTCTGCTGGAATACCATGTTATCAAAGGGATCTTCCCAACTACACTTTATGAAATTGCTCTCCAACCACGTTAACCTGCTTCGTTCTTTAACAATTAGTCTTATTCACAACTTGCCACGTCTTTATACATTTGATGTTTCTCTCTCCCTATTAGCTGGTAAGCCACAGAGGGCAGGTGCTTCCTCCGACTGGTTTCTGACCTGTTCCGTTCGGACTGTGCTGGTGCAGAACAGGTGTTCCGTGAATACTTGCAGAACAGACGTGACGAAGCTGCGGTGTGCTGCTGTATTTTAAAGACCATGTATTTTTACTTAGCTTTTTATGAATAAAGTCCATTATTATGGTACCAAATGTCCTGCCTTTAATACCTGAAAGTGTTTCTTTTTTAAAAAAAATCTAAAATACATTTTTATTGATTTCAGAGAGGAAGGCAGAGAAAGGGAGAGACAGAAGCATCAATGATGAAAGAGAATCATTGATCGGCTGTCTCCTGCACACCCCCTATTGGGGATCGAGCCCACAACCCAGGCATGTGTCCTTGACAGGGAATCGAGCCGTGCACTCCTGATTTATAGGTCGACACTCAACCACTGAGCTACGCTGGCCGGGCTGAAAGTATTTCTAATTGGTAACATATAGGAAAGAAAACAATGCCCAGATAGTTCAGTAGGTAAAATGAGCAGTGAAAATATGGCTGTTTCAAAGAAAATTATAAGGTTTTTTTTAACCTGTGAGAATAGGACTTTATGAATTACATATTATAGAGCTTAAGACAGGATATCAAGTTTTAAAAATATTATCTTGAGAAAATTAATGAACATTTTCTGTCAAAAAATAATTTTTTGAAAACTTTTTTTTTTACTTACACTAATAATCAAATGGTGAGTTACTGAGAAATGACCTTGGACAAGGCAGCCAGGAGGTCAAGTACCTGTAGGCATTAAAACCTTTTCCCAATGAATGCATGAATTCACGAGCAAGGACGTCATTGCTATTGCATTGAGGTTGTTTTTCCATCTGGCTACAACTAATACATTTATACAGATGCAGCCTGAAGGAAAAGTCCTTTGAGTAGACCTTTAAGAAATAACAGAGATCCTACTATAGCAATACCTATTTAGTGCGTGCATTCCCACTCCCCCCCCCCCCCCCCCCCCCACATTCTATAGTTCACTCTATAGAATGACGAAGGGCAGCACTAGAATGATGCAGCCCTGTTTAAACAGCCTTTGGAAACCTTATGACCTGAAGCGGTTTACTGAGAAGTCCTGCTAGCATACCTACCTGCGTTTCAGGGATGATGGGACTGTCCTCAGGAGAAGACCTGAAGAAGGTGGATAAAGGCGATGACACGATGATAGGATTTGGCCTCACAAACCCACTCAGATCACAGCTGGGGATGTCATTCTCCTCTTTCTTCATGACCAGGGTGTCCATCACATAGAAGACGTTCCAGGGGATCCACACGGTGTGGTACTGAGTGAGGAACGGGGATCGCTCAAACACCAGAGTGAGAGAGGCGCCACCATTTGCCACCAAGTCAAACCTAAGGAACACAAGATACACTTAGTGAATCATCTGGGTCCCATGGAATGATGCCCAGTTCATTTAGCTTAACCTCCTCCAATTAACATGCTTTACAAAGAAAGTCAACTTTCCCTCCCAACTTTCACATGAAATAGTTTCAAATCGACAGGAATATGAAAAGAATGATCCAACAAACACTCATTCCCTTTACTTAGATTTACCAATTTATTTACATTTTCCCACATTGACTTTATCATCCCCCTATCGTCTCCTTTCTCAGAACCACCTGAGCTTAAGTTGTACATATTATGCAGTGTCACTCCTAAATATCTCCACCAGAACCCCCAAGACAAAGAGCTTTCTCAGACAAAACCACAACACTGCCATCACGCCTTAGAAAAGGAAATCAGCTCTTAAAGAACGACATGAATAGATGACTCTAAGTTTCTGCCACATGTACTGTCACTGATTTCTGGAGCCTAAACGTTGTTGTACTTCTATATCACGAGGGGCAATAAAACAGGCTGGGTGATAGAAGAATGTCTAGTTCTTTTTGTTGTTGTTTTTTTAGATTTAAATGTATATATATATATATATATATTGACAGAGAATCATTGATCGGTTGCCTCCTGCACACCCCCCACTGGGGATTGAGTCTGCAATCTAGGCATGTGCCCTTAACTGGAATCGAACTCGGGACCCTTCAGTCCGCAGGCTGATGCTCTATCCACTGAGCCAAACCAGCCAGGGCAAGCTTGTCTAGTTCTGCTTCTTAAAATACTTCAGAGACTGTGCCCTAGGACGAACTCACATGCCATCCTGCCGGGTGATGGTGTAGCCGTACTCTGGGTAATGGAAAAACGAGACGTTGACTCCAATGAGTGGCGTCCCGTCCGCAGTTAGCACTTGGCCTCTGATGACGGATGCGAGGCTGTGGGAAACGCAGAAGATCCAGAGTGAACAAGTGTCTTCCCAGCCCCACACACGCCTGAGTTGGAGATGATCCCACCTCAGGGTAACATCACACGCAATCCTATTCACAAAAGCCAGACCCCAGGTGCTCCCAAGACTGTGTCCCCTTTAATTCCGTGTAACCCACCTTCTCTACATGCCGCGTGTCTGGCCCTGGGTTTTCAATTCGTTGCAATCTGGTTTTGGAGACTTATCCACACCAGTAATTTAGAGATGAATTTTAAAATGATAAACTGCCCCCTTTTTTTTTCATAAGTCGTATGTCTGGTGCTTACATGAAGAAAAGCATACTTTCCAATTAATTCCGAGGCAATCTGTAAATCTTCAGGGAGCGGGTAGCACAAGATTTAAGGGGCAATAAGGAACATTTGTGCAACAACTTTTAATCAGCCGCTGGGCCTGGCCGCATTAATGCGGCGACATCGCTGCCGACCCAGGAGTCCGGAGTGAATCATCCCTGGGCGCAGCGGGATGGGGACACCCGCCTCCCCTTCCCGGGTTAGGCCGGGCATCACTGCTCCACAGAGCACAGCCGTGGCTCACAGGCCTCCTGCCCGGCCTCTGAGCCGTCCCCTCCTCCACCATTTACATCACCTAGTGAGCTCAGCTAAAAATAAGAGCACACTTCTCTTTGCCTTTTGGGGTCTTTCCGTGGCCTCTTTCAAAACATTTCCAACTGTGCCAATGAGCTAAATGAAGATGTACTGACTCCCTACTGGGGTGTCCCGTTATGGTGCAGGCCCTGAAGTTGACAAAGTACAGGAATCGTGTCAAAGACGCTCACAATGCGAAGTTTGGGGAAGACTTTGCCCAAAGAGGAAAAACTGCCTTAGAAAAAAAAGCACTTTGCCCACATGCACAGCCAGCAGCAGCCGTGTAACCTCACTCGGATTCCGCATGGGGAGCAGGTGCCTCACCTCTTGTTGAAAGGACTCTCTCCGGGGATCACGTGGGTGCTCTCGGCCCCAGTGAGGAAGCCGATGCGCTCGTAGAAGGACTTGGCCGCCTGCTGGGACGGGGACTGCGGGCTCTGGCCGATGACGTCCTGCGGGTCAGGCCGCCCGCGGCAGTACGGCTGGTTTTGGCAGGAGCTCTGTAAGCAGCAGTCGGGGTCCATGCAGTCGGTGAGGCCGTCTGCGGAGAGAGAGGTAAACCGGTGAGAGAACCCCTTCCCACGCGAAGTGTGGAGTGCACTTGGTTTGTGGGTTCGTTTCCCCCATCCAACCATTTGTCCCTCCCACCCCCACCCGAGAGTAATTCCCGTGAGGTCTACGTGTCGGAACCGATGAAATACAAACACGATCCTCGCAGCTGCTTTCGTGGAGAGTAAATGTTTAGATTGGAGACGGCTAAAAAGAATATGTTGATTCTGAGCAAGAAGTACAAAAGGACTAATTAGAACAGTCCATGAGCAGGATGAAGTAATATGGATTAGCTCTATGTGCAATCGCTCCAGCCCTCTATAATTTAGGGGAAAATGCCCGAGGAGGTAACATACACAGTGTGTGTGGCGAGTGGACGGGGCCTGCACAGGGCGATGTTCTAATTTGGGAAAAGCTCAGGAAATGACGTCTGTGAGACGAAGCCAACACAAACCGACACAAACAAGATGAGACGAGTCCACCACCTTCTGAGGATGCTGCTCTCCCAAGGAAGATAAAAGCATGTTCCAAATCAAATGAAGGCGTTTCTCAAACTTTAAACTGGAGCCTGAGCCCCGGGTATGCCACCCTATAATGGAGATGATAATTTAAAATGTGGCAAATGCTATATATTGGAAATGATGAGACATTATCACAAAAAACTGACCAATAGTGATGGTGACGTAAAACAGTCATGGACAGACTTTGCCGGTGCCTCTACAGGAGCCCAAAAGGAAGCCACACTCAATGTCCATTTAAGCATTTTGTTTGAAACATATCAACCAACCCATTAGTGGCTAAGGGGGCCGCACGCCCCACACTGGGGATTGAGCTCGCAACCCGGGCACATGCCTGGACCGGACTGTGACCTCTGGCTCATAGCTTGATGCTCAACCATTGAGCCATGCCAGGCTAAGTTCATTATTCACTGACCAGTTGATACATAAATTTTCACCTGCCTGCCAATTACATTTCTCAATATAGATTCATCAAAAGCATTGGTTTTTGAAGACTTTAATCACTCTTGGGAGAACGGATAAAATAGTTTTAAAATCTTCAAACACATATATCAGGTCTTGGTGTGACTCTATTGTGGCAGATCAGTTGAAAGTATCTAGTTGACTTATATATTTTATTTACACAAGTGTTTTTAAAAAAATATCTTTTACTTAAAAAAACAATACACTAGCCATTTTCTCTCTTTCTCTCTCTCTTTCTCTCTCTCTCTCTCTCTCTCTCTGTCTCTGTCTTCTTTCTTCTTTTGCTTTATCTGACTCTTATTAATCCTATGTAATAAAAGCCTAATATGCTAAGTATCCAACCATTCGTTCGAACGTTCACTATTATGTGCACTGACCACCAGGGGGCAGACGCTCTGACCGGTAGGTCTGGGTCTGAACAATTGGGACTGGGAGAGATGGGCTGGACAAACCCTAGAGCCCTCCTGTAGTCCCTCCCCGGCCCTAATTGTGTACCAGTGGGGTCCCTTGGCCTGGCCTGTGCCCTCTCGCAATCCAGGATCCCTCAGGGATGTCAGAGAGCTGGTTTTGGCCCGATCCCTGCAGGCCAGG